TGTGTGTCTCTCTCTCTGTGTATGTGTCTCTCTATATATGTCTCTCTCCGTGTCTGTGTTTGTCTCTCTGTGTTTGTCTCTCTGTGTCTCTCTCTGTGTGTATATGTGTCTCTCCGTGTCTGTGTTTGTCTCTCTGTGTGTATGTGTCTCTCTCCGTGTCTGTGTTTGTCTCTCTGTGTATGTGTCTCTCTCTATATGTGTCTCTCTCTGTGTTAGTCTCTCTGTGTATGTGTCTCTCTCCGAGCTTGCAGTTGCACACAGTAGTCACCTGATGACGGTTGCTTGTGTTGCAATCGAAACGTCGTGATCTAGTATTTATTTCATTCTTTCTACGTGACTTTACCGAAAGAACCAATAAGTAACTGCTCTCTCTCTCTCTCCCCCCTGAAGCCCTCTCGTCGTGGTGAACAGACCTCGACATTGGGCATCCGAGCTCAGGAACACGTTGCTGCCGCACGCAATAATACACTCGAATTTATTTAAAATATATTTATTCTTATTGATTTGAAGCTTTCGTGACTGCAGGAATCCATACTCTTTGGTTCTTTCGGTAGTCATCACGTAGGTGATTTATTTATTTTATACCTACGTGACTTTAACCGAAAGAACCAACGAGTTTGTACTCTCATAGAGAGGCGTGAGATGCGTAATAGTGAACGTTCAGTCGCGGATGGTGTGTGTCTCAATCCCTGGCGCAGATTCGTGAGTTTAACTTCCCCATTTCATTGTCATTTTCATCCACAACTTCTGAATTTGTTTTTAATCGAGATACCAGCTGCTGCTTGGGAGTCTTGTGCAAATAGCACGTGCAAACAGGGCAGTGCCGCTCCGAGACTAGTTTTGTGTAATCTGTTCCAGTTTGGTGCCGTTCCAGACTTCATGACAGTAATTTATTTTACATCCCTTTGTCCATGCACTGCTGGATGAAGGCCTCTCAATCCACATGGTGGTCAGCCATGGTGGATGTTTAACCGTACTTTACCATGCTGTGTGAAGGTGAAATCAGGGGGATTTGGTTCCGTTCTGGATTCACTCACCACCGCTGCTATCCGTGGCTGGTTTGACAAACTCGATTCGCTGGGCTCATTACGCAGTGTGAAAATACTTGAAACCTGGCCTGCCATACACATATTTATTTTACTTTCAGGGCCACAGTGTTGTTGTTGTTGACGAATGTGGTGAGTTTTTTGTATATAGGGCTCCCCGGTGGCTGTGAGATGTTATCTCGCTCTCCTGGTATGCAGGAGGTCCGTGGGTTCGATCCCGATCCTGACGCCTGCGTATTTGGAGTTTGCGGTGTCTCTCTCTCATCATCATCATCACGGTGGCTTTTAGATGTTAACTACCTCGCCTGGTATGCAGGAGGTCGTGGGTTCGATCCCGATCCTGACGCCTGCGTATTTGGAGTTTGCATTTTCTCCCCGTGGTCGCGTGGTCTTTTCTCCAGGTACGCCGGTTTTTCCCTCCACATTTAGAGTATTTTGACTGCTATACATTGCCACATGATAAGCCACTAAATTGGGCTATCATTTACGGGCAGATCGCGTCTGAATGAGAGCCATATAGCTCAGTGGGTCTTCACCTGGTAAAAGAAATAGTTTAGTTAAATGCGTGGTGGTCGAGCTGCCAGGGGCTATTTTGACCCAGGCCTCGCACAGAAGAGGGCATCACAACTGGCCCGGTTATTGTCGCTCACGAGCAAGGGGACCCCACGTGGCGTGCTACTCCTGGGCCTCCAGGAACCTCTGAGCTGCCCTGGCTGAGTGGTCGCCAATCAAAGCACTCCACCCTGCTTAACAACATTAATGATAATAGGTTTTTGACCCTTTTATCTGGCACAAAACGGACACTTTTTTTTTTACAAGGGATCATGTTTGCATTAACCACAATACCTGTGGTCAAAATGCAAACAAAAAACAGCACTCTGATAATGTATGCATTGTCCACACCAGAGACAGCTTTTTTTTTTAGAGCCCAGATAGTGCATACATTATCAGAGTAGTTTTAGACAGAGGAGTCGTACGGCGCAAATTTCATTGCACAATCGCCGCCCATGACACATTTGTCCTTTTAAGTACGCAGCGTTCTTGACAACGGCCGAGGAACCGCAGGAGACGAACGGGTTGGGAGTTGGGAAGGGAGCCATGAAGTGAGCTAGCGCCGACGATTGCCCAAGCTTCCGAAATCTGGCCGCATTTGGGGCAATTGTGGTGAGCGGCATGTGGAACATTCCAGAGGGTTACTGGAAAGGACGTTGCCATGACCGTGCCCACTCGAGCGTCGTGGCTCTCGGTCCACTAGAGGCACGTGAGTCAGGCGGAGAAAATTCACTTTTTTTTTCCCTGCGATCGTTCTGGAAGGAAATACGCTGCGAGAACAACAAGTTAATTGTGAAACACAGAGCACCGATTGCTTTTCAACCTGGCGAGGGAATGCCAGAAGCAGAAATTGGGCAGAGATTGAACAATTGACACGCAGAACAAAACGCGATGGCAGTAACAACCTCGGCCGTTAACCACAATTCCCTGAGCGATTCACACTGTGCACGTGGCATCAAACGGCAGCATCTGATTTAGAGCAATAGTTAATTAATGTAGGGCCCTTTATCAATCCACTGATGGATGAAGACCTCCCCCACGCTTTTGGAGGAGGTTGGGAGCACATGTGCATACCTCTCAACCCCCTTATCAGTGCCCTACCTTATTACAGGCCAATTTAGACCTTATTGGTCACGCCGTGCCCCTTATAAATCTCAACGTTCATCCTACAAAGTCCCATCACAAGGGAGAAACACAAACAAATAAAAAAATCACTACTACTACAATTCACCACGACACTCACCACTACACTCACCACTTGTACACTCACCACTACAAACCTCTCAACCCCTCATCAGTGCCCTACCTTATTACAGACAAATTCAGACCTTATTGGTCACCCCCTGCCCCTTATAAATCTCAGCGTTCATCCTACAAAGTCCCATCACCAGGGAGAAGCACAAGACAAATACAAAAAATAGTCTGCCCGTATTGAAACGGCTGCACGCCATATGGACCTGGAACACTCCCTGTACAACAATCCGGTGTTAAACCGTGATGGGTGGACAGATATGAAAAAAACCCTCGTACGGAGGACACGGTTACCGTAAATGCGCCCCCCACGTAATTTTGACAACGACATTGCAATTTATAATCATCGCAGTCATCACCAGCCATGGTCAAATCCCCACGTGAGACTGCGGAGTGTAACGATGCCGGTTACGTGTATCTCGCGGTGCGTGTATCTAGCGGTGCGTGTATCTCGCGGTGCAGTGCGTGTATCTCGCGGTTTGTATATCTAGCGGTGCACGTATCTAACGCTTCGCGTATCTAGTAGTAGTTCGTGTATCTAGCGGGTTCGTGTATCTAGCAGCGCACGCATCTCCCGCTGCGTGCATGTAGCGGTGCATCTCGCGGGTGCGAGCATCTGCCCACGTGTTGCTTTTGAGGACGCACCGCGCTTCAGGTCCCTCAACGACGAGACAGAGGCAGCCTGCGGCAGGAAATTTACTTGAAACGTTCGGGCTCAACGCGAGGTTGGCGGCGGTGGAGGGCAAACGGAGATAGCCGCAATGCCGGATTAAGCTCGTGCGGGGCCTGTAGCATATGTTAGAAAGGTAACCGAATTTTTTTTTTAAAACATCACTATTAAAACACATTTTTTTTACTCGCACAGCAAAGTTATTGTACGTTTTTCATTTGCTGTACAGCCAGATAATACGACAAATCGCTAACCTTGAACACCCAGTCGTTCGTAAATGTTGAAGGCGGTATAGTACTATAGTGATAGAGCAAGTGCAGCATCACTGAACCGGAACTGATAGCTTGAAAGCATTTAGCGCGGGGCCCTTGAAAGTGTGGGGCCCGTAGCTACTACATGTGTAGCTACTTTTGCGACTCCGATAATTCCGGCACTGGACAGGCGGTGAGGAACAGCGGCGTTGCTGCACCGGACAGGGGAAACGGTCTCAGCCGTGGACAAGATGGGGAGCGTCTGCGGGAGGTTCAGACGAGGGCTGAACGACGTTTTGATTGCAACACAAGCAACCATCGTCAGGTAAGAATGAATGATAAAACACAGACACGGAAACAACACAGGCAGATACACATGCAGAGAGAGACACACACAAAGACACACCGAGCGTGTCTGTGTTTTATCATTCATTCACACCTGATGATGATTGCTTGTGTTGCAATCGAAACGTCGCAATCTATTATTATTTGATTTTATTTTCTACGTGACTTTACCGAAAGAACCAAAGAGTAATTCCTGCAGTCGCGAAAGCTTCGAATCAAGTTTCAATCACCCCCTTCAGCTCATTCCCTCTCACCACCACCTGCCTCATCCAGATCCTCTTCCGATGCAGTGCATCTCAAACCATTATCCGACCTCTCTCTCTCTCACTTTGCCATTGCTATGGAAATTACTTTGACGCACGTCCACAGTTTGACCGACGTCACGAGGCGACGTCACGAGGCGACGTCGTCAGAAGGCGACGTCGTCACGTGGCGACGTCACCTCGTGACGTCACGAGGCGACGTCACGAGGCGACGTCACAAGGCGACGTCACGAGGCGACGTCGTCAGAAGGCGACATTCACGAGGCGACATCACGAGGCGACGTCACGAGGCGACATTCACGAGGCGACATTCACGAGGCGACGTCACAAAGCGACGTCACGAGCCGACGTCACGAGCCGACGTCACGAGGCGACGTCACGAGGCGACGTCACGAGGCGACGTCACGAGGCGACGTCGTCACGAGGCGACGTCACAAAGCGACATTCACGAGGCGACGTCACGAGGCGACGTCACGAGGCGACATTCACGAGGCGACATTCACGAGGCGACATCACGAGGCGACGTCACGAGCCGCCGCTGTCTGGGCAAGTGTAAGCGGGCGCGCGCAGCAGTGTTGCTCTTCAGTAACGGGGAAAAATAAATCACACACACACACAACTGTTTGGTAAACGATTAACACTGATTTATACGTAACACTGACACACTTCGAGTTGTGGCAGCAAACCAAACGCGTCGCTCGAGAGGCTCGTCGCGGCGTCCACAACCGGAGTGACCTCGTGGCGCTCTTCGTCCCATCGGTAATGCTGCAGCCGCCTCCCGCCATCGCGCTGGGCACAATGTAGCGATTTCAAATTACCGGAGAGACACAGCGCGGATGGGAGAGTGAGCGGTCACGTTGAGCTTTGCCCATTGGACACTGACAGCAAGTTATGCATCGGAGTAAAATGTACGTACTAAATGTACATGTAATTTAGAAAAAAAAGTGCCCATCTCTGGTGGCGAGACACCTCAAAATATATTCTTTCACCCACTGGTGGGAACCGGTGGATGCAGCCAGCCGCGCTGACACGGCTCACGAGGGGATGGTTGGCCAGCGTTACGCCCGGCCGCCTTTGTCTCCGCAGCGGATTTTTGTTGACACACCGCACCAGGTACTCATTTGCGGGGAGGCCCAGGACCGATTTGAAATAATCACCACCCGTTACTGGCGGTGGTCGTGAGCGGTTATCGAACTCGGGTCGTCAGGTTCGTAGCGCAGCGCTAACCGCCGGCGCCAGCGCTCCCCCCACACGATGCACATTCCTCCCGCGAGCCCTCCAAAACGAGCAGTCACTGCACATTCATCACAATATCCGAGACCTTCCAGTCGATTCCAGGCGCTTTGCTGGAAAAGCAAAGCGCCTGGAAATGAGATGCAAAGCGTCCACGCGACGTGGAGCCTCTTCAATTCAGTTCGTGGTTCCGCTCCTGAAGGGCTGCTGTTGTGTTACAGCGCAGGTAGTGGCAAATGTCGCTGGCAATTTACTTTTCGCGAGGAAGCACTCAATCACAACTTTCGCTTTGAAGGCGCCAGCTCGTTGAACCAAGCCGTCTCCGATCACTCAAAGTCTCAAAAAAATACTTTCGATTTGTGAATCCAAGCGAGCAACATGTTTTTTTTTTCTCATCACCCGATCCCATCCGAAAAATAATACATTCACAGTTGCCCCGCGCTGGCGATGTTACACCGCAGCAAACTCAAATGTTCATCGCAGAGATCAAGTTCCTCGTTCATTAACAATCACAACGCCCTTTCACGTGTTTTGACGGACAACCGATCTGGTGAAGGCTGCTGCTGCCGCCGCCGCCGCCGCCTCGTTGACAATCAAAGAGAAAACGACTAACAAACGCAACGCGATCCGTCAATAATGACGCCCGGTATGGCCTTGAAAGTAAAAGATGTAATATGATGGGCGACGTTTCGGGCAATGAACCTACTCGATTGGGTGCTATTTGAAGAAGGGCCATTGCCTATTCCATATTTCTCCATTTGAAGGCCACACACACAAACGCACGCGGCGTCATTGACACACGCGTGCGAGGGGGTGGGGGGGGACGGCGGGGAGGGAGCCTCTTCGCTTCGAGAAGGCGCGCGGCACGAAACGTTGGACATCGCGCCAAGCAACACGAGGCTTTCAACCTGAACGCACATCGGGGAGCTGTGCAGCACAACCGCGAGAAACTATGCGGTCGTGAAAAAACGCAAACTCAAACCACATTGGGTTTGTTTTGTTGTGACCCCCCCCCACGCACACGCACGCACATCCGCTTTGGTTAAATAAATAAGTAACCCCCAGGCTTCTTTGTCAAATGGATTCCATGTGTCCCTTCCTCGCAGCTTAAACGGCAGCGGGACGGATAGAAGAACAGATCTTTGGCACTGATGCTGGCGAATCGTCTTCTTCTGCAGCTATGGGGTTCGCGACTGAGCTGCGGGAACGTCGTTTTCCGCCGTCCTTCACAATTCGACGTACAGAGGGCATTTAGCAAAGGGCACTCTCGAGCCGAGACCCAGAACCCGACTTCAAAGGGTTCTTGCCTATAAACACATCTGGCAGTTCAACCGGCGTCGATGGGTTCGAGCGATCGGCCCGAACTCTGCCCACGAGACACTGAAATGTAAAAAAATAGCAAGCGGTGGAGAATTTCGCTCGGTGCTAATCCAATGGCACTGATATTGGGGACGTGTTTGTTTTTTTGTCAAACAAACAAAAAAAGCGTGGATTTAACGCACACGTGGACCTTCGCGACCGATAATATTCGCAATTGATTTTGGGTCATGCGGGTATAGTTCAAGTCAACGCCTGGCTCGGCAAAACATTGGCACGGCACACATTGGCACGGCACACATTGGCACGGCACACACGTATGTATGTTGAACTTCATTCGCACCGTACGTGGCCACACGTGCTAATCGGAGGTGCGGGGGAAAAGACAACAAACTGAACACATAAGAGAGTTCTAAAGAAATTAGTTTTCAATCTGGATTTAAAGGTGCATAGCTCCAATGGCAGAAGCGCATCTGAAAGCGTGCGATGCGGTGGACGTCTTTGTCCAATGGCTAGCCCAAAGCCGCTGTGACGACGACCGGAGTTTGCATGACGGTCTATGTCCCTTGACGAGATCAGCAAGGTATTGTGGTTCATTTGTGGAAAGCACTTTGTGTGCAATGAGTGCGACCTCATATTGTATTCGTTCGCCAACCGGAATGCAATGCAGAGTCACGAGCACTGAAAGCAGATGGTCGGCTCTTGCAGTGCCCGTCATGACATGTGCCAAATAATTTTATATATGCTGCAGCTTGGTAATGCTATGCCAGACATCCCGTAGCGTAGTACATTGCAATACACGCTACCATGCTGGCTATGTCACGACTCAATAGTGGTCGAATGTGCATAGCCCTTGTTATGGTGCCGCGGCTCCATAAGCGAGTAGAAAACTGAATCGTGGAGTCTGCGACCGCCACATCTGATCCTCCCACGACATGCATTGATTTGCCAGGATTTCTAGCTCAAGGAGACGGCGATCCTGGGACAACGAGAACAGGTGGCAGCTCTCCCGAACAACCCAGCAGGGGTCCTCCTGAAGGACAATGTTGACACTCAGCGAGGCTTTCCTGGAAGGTTACGGCAAGCCCCTCAAACGACACCCTTCCTAAGACCCTGGCCAGGCCTCAGAGCCTACCCATCGAAGATCTCAACAAGGCCTGAAGAAGAATGAGGCAGACTTTTCTGGGTAACAGATTAAAATAAAAGCAATGCTCTTATCAGCAGCACCAAATCCAGTCACTTCAGTAAGCCTGTGACGACCCCCCCGTTTGCTCATCTGCATCGATCAGGAAGAGACATGCGAAGCTACGAGGTCGAGATGCCGCCGCCCGGAGACCCGCGGACCGACGGCGCCCCCTCAAAACGGATGACTTTTGTCCCCGGCTTCCTCCACCTTGAGCCCCTCAGTCCCCACGTCCTCCAACAGCAGCCCGTCCTCGTATCTCAGGATAGCCCTGAGCTGGGCCCAGAAGAAGCTCTGCTTGGTCGCCTCGGCGGGCCACTCCAGGTACGTCTTCTTTGACAGCAGCTTGCGCAGCTTGCAGAAGCGGCTGGGCAGCGACTCGGGCCGGATGGGCTCCTTGAGGAGCAGCACGAGGTCCTCCATGGCGTCGTGCGCTGGCCTCTGGTGCGCAAAGTACAGCTCGTAGTTGCACCACTCGCTGTCGACGAAGGCGCTGGACAGCACGAAGATCACCTTGCGGCTGAGCTCGATGCTGTCGATGATGTTGTCGATGATCCACATGCCGGGCGTGAAGTCGCGCTCGTGCACGCACACGCGCAGCGGCGGGCGCGCCGACTCCAGCTGCGGCATGAGGTTCTCGCGCACCCACGCGGCGTCCTCGTGGCTGTACGAGATGAAGGCGTGGAAGCGGTAGTCCCGCCCCCCCGGCGCAAACTGCCTGCCGCCCCCTCTCGTCAGCTTGCGCCGCTTCGACCGCAGCAGGTTCCACAGGGCGCGGACGTACCAGGGCACGTCGAAGCGGCGGCACAGCGCGAGGCACGCGACCGCCAGGGCCGCCGTCACCACCGCCGACACCAGCACCACGAGCCGCACGTCGCACTCCAGCGAGCCGGGTCGGAAACGCTCCAGTTGCGTGCCCAGCAGCTGCGCCGGGTGGTAGCACGTGTAGTTGTTGGGCCAGCCCTCGAGCCGCACGGGCGAGTCGAGGGCCCGCACCTCCGACAGGAAGCCCCACAGGTCGCAGGTGCACTGGAAGGGGTTGTTGTCAGCCCGCAGGCTGCGCAGGAGCACCATGAGCTCGAAGGTGCCGCGGTCGATGACGCCGAAGGAGTTGCGGTCGATGGCAAGGAAGCGGAGGACAGGCGCGCGCCAGCCCGACGGGATGAACTTGATGTTGTTGCCGCTGAGCAGCAGGCACTCGAGCCTGTCGGCGCGGGCGAAGTAGCCGAGGTCGAGCCGGTCGACGTCGCTGAAGGACAGGTCGAGGTGGCGCAGCGTGAGCGGCAGGCAGTCGTAGACGTCGCCCGCCGCGCGGTTGTACGACAGGTCCAGCCACTCGATCGGCTGGCTCCAGTTGCAGCGCTCGACCGCGCCGCCGATGGAGTTGCGCGCCAGCGAGACGTTGCGCAGCGCGCCCCACTCGCGCGCCAGCTGCGCCACCGTCGCCAGCCGTGTCAGCGCGTTATCGGCGAGCAGCAGCGAGCGGAGGAGCGGCACCGTGCCGCGGTAGTCGCAGCCCACGTTGAGGAGCGCCGAGTCCGTGAGCCGGTTGTTGGAGATGTCCGCCGTGACCACGCGGTGCATGGCGGCCCAGGCGGGGCACGGGACGACGTTGAAGTTGACGTTGTTGATCGTCAGCGTGTCGAGGCTGCCGTACCAGTTGAAGTTACCGTTGTACAGCAGCACCTCCGGGTTGGTGATGTCGCGGAAGGCCAGCGTCCGCAACGGCAGCTTCCCCACAGGCACGCGGGGTCGCTCCGTCACGGCGGAGTACGCGAAGTCGACGGCGGTCAGCGCAAGCGCCGCCACGGCGCTGCGCTGCAGGTGCTTGAGGATGAGGTAGTGCAGGTTCTCGTTGAACTTGCCGCGGAAGAACTCGAGGTTGCGCAGGCGGGAGAGGCGCGGCAGCGGCGCGAAGAGGTCGTCGGCGCCCGTGTAGTAGTTGGTGGCGAAGAGGCGGCGGAAGCGCAGGCTGTGGACGCCCGTGGCCGCGAGGTCGGCCAGCATCGGCGTCACCGCCGTCGGCGCCGCGTCCAAGTCGCAGTCCAGGGTGACGGCCGGCTTGGCGCTCCCGGCCAGCGAGGCCAGAGCCCCCGGCTCGTAGCTCCGGAAGCCCTGGCCGGTCTTGAGGGAGAAGATCGTCAAGTCGAGCGAGCGGAGGGCCGCGAGGTCGGCAGCCCTCACGTCCGACACCAGCTCGCCGCCGAGCCACAGGTGACGCAGCGAGGTGAGGCGCGAGAAGGTGGTGCCCAGCTCGACGCGCCGGTACAGGTTGTTCGAGACGTTGAGCATGCGCAGGCTGCCGAGCAGAGGCCCCAGCTGAGCGTCGGGCACCGCCGTGAGGCTGCGGGCGGAGAGGGGGAAGGGTCACGTGACGCGCAACCAGGACCCCCCCCACCCCCCCCCCCGCAGCGTCGACCGTGCTGGAGGGGGTCGAGGCCCCCCCCCTGCTCAACGCTCAGCAACCTCAACCCCCACCCCCCACCCACTCCCCACGTTTCAAAATTCTTATATCTGTAAATTTTTTGGCCGGCCGTGCGTCCATGTGTCAGTGCGTCCGACCCACCCGCCCATCCGTCCATTCGTTTCTCTCGTTCGTTCTTCCGTCCATCTACCCGTAACGTCCGTACATCGGTCCGTCCATCCCAACGCGTCCGTCTCTCCCCGCCCCCGCGCGACCGCCCGCCCACTCGCCCGAGTCCGCTTCACCTGTTGTTGAAGAGGTCGAGCTCTTCGAGGGCGCTGCAGCCCAGGAAGGCGCGGTCGTGCATGCGCGCCATAACGTTGAACTGCAGCTTGAGCTGGCGCAGCAGCGGGTACCGCCTGAACGCCAGCTCGCCCAACTCCGCCAGCTCGTTCCGCGACAGGTCCAGCGAGGAGATGTTCGCCGGCAGCCCCTGGGGCACGCGCGTCAGCCTGCGCCCCGAGCAGTCCGCGTGCGAGCCCGTCAGCTTGCAGTTCTCGGCTGCCTTCTCCGACCCCGTGGATGACCCAGCTGATGGCCCAGCCGATGACCCAGCCGATGACCCAAACGATGACCCAACCGTTGACCCAGCCGGTGACCCAGCCGGTGACCTAGCCGGTGACTCGTCCGTTCTCGACTCCCACGGTGGTGTAGCTGGTGACCCAGCCGGTGATCTGGCGGATGACCAAGCCGTTGACGCCACTCTTGACTCGTCCAATGACCCGGCTAGTGACTCGACCAATGACACCGACGATGAAGCCGTTGCTGCTGACGCTGCTGGTGACCTCCCCGCCGACCCTGTCGCTGACCCCCCTGTTGACCTCAATACTGACCCCCCGGTTGGCTGCACTGGTAATGTTAACACCGTCCCTGCTGCTGCTTCTGCCGAGCCCAACGCTAGCCCCAAGGGCTCGCGATCCCTGTCGGGTGTCGCCCATCCAGCGATGGGTAGCAGGGAGCACAGTAAGAAGGTTGCCATGGGTACGATCCAGAAGCTGGGAAGCATCGTTCCTGCAGCGCCTGGTCTGACGCAAAGACACGTACACACACACACACAGATATTGATCCACTGCTGTACCGGTCGTGGGGTTTAAGTCGACCGTTCTTCAAAACGCCGGTCAGTTTGGGTCAGTGAACGTGTGGGGGGCATAGGTAGACGTGGCAGCATAGAAGTGCAGTACAACGACGGATTTGGCTTCAGCGTCCACGAGATTTAACGTGCCCGGTGTGTATCCGTGTGATTCGCATGCAGCCTGCGGTGACTACGGGCCGTGCCCTACACTAACCTGTGATGATTTACAGACGTTACAGCGCAGCATCGCACAATCCAAGCCATGCGTGAGAGGGACGAACCCTCAACTACGCCGCTAGGCAGGGTTTGCTTTGGGGGGGGGCGGGGGCGGGAACATGTGGCGGTTAATATCAGCAGCAGGTGATTGTTTGACATACGAGTCGATGAGAACTGGAAAGGCCAAAAATAACAAAAAATAAAAACGGTCCAGAATTTGCACGCTTACCTAAACACTTTATTTTCGTTCGGCAAAAAAGCGTGCACGCGACTCAAACTCGACGAGCCCAGAATGCGACCGCGGATCTAAGCAGGCTCGAGGCTGTGTCACCGTGTCCGCTTGCTTCGTGGGGCACACCTTGCACATCGCAAGGGGAGGTCCACGCTTGTCCGACATCGCTCGCCACCGGCGTTGGGGGCCTGTCGGCCATAAATGACGTCACGCGATTTTGGACGATTTTTTTACCCCCCCCCCATCGTCACGCGGCGTCACAAAAAGTCAGACCCCCCCCCCAAATATGACGTCACAAAGCTCTGCCCCCCCCCCCCAAAAATGTTTTTAACATGCTTCAAATAGCTTTAAACCATTGTCATTGTAGTGCGTATTTAACGTGCCCTGCACTCTGATGTTGTAGGTAGAAAACATTTTTAAAAAAATCTATTTAATTAAGTAGAACGTGTTGTCTGTATTTATTTAAAGTTGCGCATTTTTACGTGACGTCACATTTCTCAAACCCCCCTCCCCCCCCTCCTCGTCACACATCGTCACAAATGTCTGACCCCCCCCCCCCCCCAGGTGCGTGACGTCATTTACGAACGGCCCCTTAACCGTGGCGGGCTGTCGAACTCGGTGCGCTAACCGCTGTGCCACCGCTCCCCTGAACCGCAGCCTATCAACGGATCGTATGCTCTATGCTAAGTCGGCCAATCAAATGCTAATTTTTTTCATGCTAATTCCTTTGTCAAGGCACCTTGTTTCCTCGCACACAGCTTAAAGGTCCGCGGTCTGAGCGTGGCTGTGTTTCACTCCAGCGCTGTCCTCGAGACAGCCTGGTCCCTTCACCTGATGAAGGCTGCTTGTGTTTGTGGCCGAAACGTCGTGATTTTTGTCTTTTTTTTTTTACCTACGTGACTTTACCGAATAGAACCAAAGAGCATGGATCCTTGCAGTCACGAAAGCTTTAAGTCTAGAATATCAACGGATCACTTTGCAGGGCAGGAGAGGAGGTCACCTTGCTCAGCGTCGGTGTCTGAAGCGTTGCCAGATGTTGCTTCGGCTACTCAGTGATCACAACCTCTGGAGACAATCCGCGGGCGGATTTTGCGGTATACATATTCATCCTTATTTAGCACGAGAAAAAGTAACAACGGTAGGCTTTCGCGACCAATATCATCAAGTTTTTTTTTGGGGGGGGGGGTGGGTGGGAGGATTAGATCGCGTAAATATAAATGTTGTGTCGTTAAAACCGCCACCACCACCCGACACAGCCAATTAGTGAGGGGTTTGTGTCGCGTAAGGCAGAACGTGGCCAATTCGTTACGAGTACAGCACTAACCGGTGTGTTGGAGAGCCGTCCGTAAATGACGTCACGCGATTTTGGACGATTTTTGCCCCCCCCCGCCCCCCTCGTCACGCGGCGTCACAAAAAGTCAGACCCCCCCCCTCGAATTAGACGTCACAAAGCTCTGCCCCCTCCAAAAAAATATAAAACATGTTTCAAATCGCTTTAAACTATTGTCATTGTAGTGCGTATTTAATGTGGCGCTGCACTCTGATGTTGTAGGAGAAAACATTGATTAAAAAGTCTATTTAATTAAGTAGAACGCGTTATCTATATGTATTTAAAGTTGCGCATTTTGACGTGACGTCACATTTCTCAACCCCCCCTCCCCTCGTCACACATCGTCACAAATGTCTGACCCCCCCACCCACCCACCCCCCCTAGGTGCGTGACGTCATTTATGGACGGCCCCTTTAGGCGGCGAGAAAAACAAAGCGCTCGATTTAAAAAATTCCAAAAACCCAAAAAAACACAAACGTGGGAGCTCATCGGCAGGCTGCACGGCTGGGACATTAACAAATCGTGCGCGTGGTCTTAGGGGTGACTTTGCGGTCCGGCCATCCCCAGACACTTCCCGAATTCCGGTGCTCGACTATCTATCGTGCGCGCGTGCGATACGCCGCTCGCAAATCTTAAGAGAGCTTCCCTAACCATTGTGGAGCGAGGGAGATTCGTTTTTTTTGGGTTTGGACATGTTTGTTTTGTTGTAGTACGGAGTTAGACTGATGGCATTAATCTAAGTTTTCTTGTTGTTGTTGTTGGACTTAAATCCCACTGGGATTTTTTTTTTTTGCACACAGCGTTGGTGGTGTACGGTGCTTTTTTTCACGAATATTTTTGCTGTTTCTTTTTCATTGGATTTTCTGTTTGCACAGTCAACACATAGTCACTTTAAGATGTTTTTCTTGTTCGTGTTTTTGTTTCGTTGTGGTTGCACCCGATTCAAGAGCCGAATGGCTCACAGGGCTATACCAAAATAAAGAAACTGAAAAACTGGGAGAGATGGATACGGCTGACCCCAGCGGTAGATTAAATCCCGACGACACTCGACGCGGTACAATGTCTGTCGCGGGCAGGACATTCAGACACGGGTCTTGATTTGAATTCGAGCAGTGCCGGATGAAGCGAGTGCGGGGCCTTGTAGCATTATGTTATAAAGGGGCCCTAAATACAATTTTAAACATCTTCTTTGGTTCTTTCGGTAAAGTCACGTAGAATGAGAATAAAATAATAAAATAATGAAATAAAATAACAATACAATTCTCACGACGTTTCGGCCACAACATAAGCTTCAATGAAGCTTTGTCGTCCCGACAGGTCTGTTCCTTTCACCTGAAGAAGGTCACTTGTGTTGTGGCCGAAACGTCGTGAGAATTTTATTGTGTTATTTTATTTTATTAATTTATTATTCTATTCTCATTCTACGTAACTTTACCGAAAGAACTAAAGAAGATGAATCCTTGCAGTCACGAAAGCTTTAAATCGAAATTTAAAAACACTTAAATATACAAACACAAATTTTTTAACTTGCGTAGTAAAGTTATTGTATTTTTTCATTCGCTATAGAGCCAGATAATACGACAAATCGCTAAACTGAAGCACCCGGTCGTTCATAAAAGCTGAAGGCGGAATAGTACTATAGTAATAGAGCAAGTGCATAATCACTGAACCTGAAATGATATCTTGAAAGCATTTAGCGCGGGGCCCTTGAAAGTGCGGGGCCCGTAGTTACTACTACATAAGTAGTAGTAGCTACTACTTATATAGCTACTACATGTGTAGTCGCAAAAGTAGCTACTTTTGTAGTAGCTACTACACATATGTAGCTACTACATGTGTAGCTACGACATATGTAGCTACTACATGTGTAGCTACGACATGCGTAGCTACTTTTTGCTACTACGATAATCCCGCACTGAACCCGAGCACGTGCCTCGTTCGTTCTGCATCTCGGCTCGTGGCGAGTTTTGGGTGTCCGCGAGGAAACGACGTCGCTGCTTGTGGCCCATTGCGAGCGGGGCACGTTCCCCTCCACCCCTGCCGTGTCCCGTAAACCCCCGCCACTGCCGACCGCCTTAGGGCTGTGGTCATCACAGAGCCGCTTGGCTCAATGTGGGCACTCCCACCCCTTCCTAGGAGACCAGCTGCCACAATGAAGCCTGGGTCTAGCTCTGGGTCTAGCACTTGCCTGCCCGCGACGAAATGCACTGCGGTCTGCGCTCCTTCAACGGAGGAAGAACAGCAAAAACGACACCAACTCTCTGTCTCTCACTCTCTCTCTCTCCTGAAGCCCTCTCGTCGTGTCCAGCAGCAGACCTCGACATTACACGCTGAGCCTCTGAGCGTATCGCCCCTGCTGCTGCTGCTGCTGCCTCCTTCACGCAAAAGCATAGAGCAGAGGCATGGCATACTCTTTAGTTCTATTGGGTAAAGTCACGTAGGTGAAAATAAAATAACAAAAAAAACATTTCACCTACGTGACTTTACCCAATAGAACCAAAGAGTATGGATCCTAGCAGTCACGAAAGCTTTAAATCTAGAAGAGGCATGGCACTTGCGCCTGGCCGTTACACGCCAGCCGCTCGCTCCACGTCCACACAATCCGCTCCGCACCTTTGACGCGCGGTTGGCACGGAACGCGGGCGGCGCGCAGCGTGCGAGGCTCGGACCAAGCAGACGCAGCCCACGATAGCCGCGGCGGGCATGCGGTGACAGGGCGAGAGGGAAGTCTCCGTCGCCTCCTTACCTGCTGGTAGCAGCGGGAGAGTCGGAGCGGTCGTGCCACCGACCCGCCACGATGAGTGTCGCGCTTTGCACGGCCGATACAAAACGTCGAAATCTTCTTCCTCCTCCTCCTCCTCTTCTTCTAGCGGCGGTGGATTCGGTGGCGTCGCGGCCGATGTAATGCGACCCATTGGCCCCCCTTCACGCGGACATCAGCAGGTCGCAGCGGTCGGGCCATCGGCCGCGCGAAACACGAAGCTCAGAGAGGCGGACAAACAAAATAAAAGACGAAGTCCCCCCACGCCGCCGCCCCGTATAGCCTCAACAGACTTCTGGGACAAGTGCCGTTAGCGAGTAGCACCTATGGAGGCCGGCGACGTGGCACAAGACGGGGTTTGGAGTTAGTCGGCACCACGCCCCGGGACGCCTTTGTCTTCCCCAAGGTGGCTAAACATTTACGCACCGCACCTCGGAGATGCCAAGAACCCGTTCGGATAATCGTCACTGACTCTTTGCGGCCGTCGCGAGCGGGAATTTAACTCGGGTGGCCGAGGTTCGTGGCGCAACGCAGCGCTAACCGCAGCGCCACCGCTCTCCGCGAGGCTCGATCAACAAAGACAAAGATCCCACCGCATCGCCAGATCCGATAACCACACACACACAGAACACACACGGAGTCTGCCAAAACCCTCCTCCACTTCGTCGAGTTAGGGGCATCAACAGGCGAGTGCCCTCGTCACATGCGCCACGCGTAACTGGCGTCTCTGTTGATCCGGACCCATTTCCTCTTCACCGAGTGGCGAGCTCGCTTGACAAAGCCTCCTCCTCTTGCCTCGATGTTGATACGTCATTGGTGCCCAGGCAGAGTTAAACACGCGTGTCTCCCCGTGCGAGAGTGTGTGTTTGTGTGTGTTAGTGTGTGGGTGTGTCTGTGGGTGTGTTAGTGTGTGGGTGTGTGTGTGTTAGTATCTGTGTGTGTGTTAGTGTGTAGGTGTGTGTGTGTTAGTCTGTGGGTGTGTGTGTTAGTCTGTGGGTGTGTGTGTGTTAGTGTGTGGGTGTGCGTGTGTTAGTGTGTGGGTGTGTCTGTGTGTGCGTGTCTTCCCGTGCGTGTGTGTGTGTTAATCTGTGGGTGTGTGTGTGGTAGTGTCTGTGTGTGTGTGTTAGTGTGTGGGTGTGCGTGTGTTAGTGTCTGTGTGTGTGTTAGTGTGTGGGTGTGTATGTGTTCGTGTCTGGGTGTGTGTGTGTTAGTGTGTGGGCGTGTGTGCGTGTCTCCCCGTGCGCGTGTGTGTGCGTTTCAGCCCGTGCGTGTGTGCGTGTCTGGGTGCGTGTGTGTGCGTGTCTGGGAGCGGGCGTGGTGCTGGCCACCCACCCCCTCGTGTGCCGTGCCGGCCTTTCAAGGTGCTCGCTAACAGCACTTGCCCCTACAGTCCGTGAAGGCTATACGGGGATCTTTGTCTTTGTTAGTGTGTGGGAGCGGGCGTGGTGGCTGGCCACACACCCCCTCGTGTGCCGTGCCGGCCTTCATAGGTACTGCTCGCTAACAGCACTTGCCCCAACAGTCTGTGAAGGCTATATGGGGGATCTTTGTCTTGTTTGCGTGTGTTGTTTTTCACTGTGGCGATGACTACGTTGGCAGTAGTGCTGTGCACGAGCAAGCAGCAACAGAGCCAGACATTGGTCCCAACGTCAAATGAATAAGAGATATAATGAATAAGCGACGTTTCGGGGAAAATGGTCCTTAGGGGCCGTCCATAAATAACGTCACGCACCTAGGGGGGGGGGGGGGTCAGACATTTGTGACGATGTGTGACGAGGCGGGGGGGGGGGTTTAGGAAATATGACGTCACATCAAAATGCGCAACTTTAAATAAATAAAGACAACACGTTGTACTTAATTAAATTGACTTTAATAAATGTTTTCTCCTACAACATCAGAGTGCAGCGCCACATTAATTACGCACTACAATGGTAATAGCTTAAAGCGATTTGAAGCACGTTTTATTTTCAAAATGGAAATATGGTTTTGGGGGGGCAAAGCTTTGTGACGTCATATTTGAGGGGGGGGGGGCTGATTTTTTGTGACGCCGTGTGACGAGGAGGTGGTGGGGGGGGGGGGGTAAAAAAATCATTCAAAATCGCGTGACGTCATTTATGGACGACCCCTTATTCCACAGCAGGTAGAACTGCGTCCTTTTGTTTCGGCCGATGACTTCTTCTTCTTCTTCACCTTCACAGCACATAAATAATGTATGTGCCCGAACTGTCTAAAAACAGTATGCGCATTTCCCCCCGCCCCCGTCCCTATTAAGGCCACGCATAACAGTGGTGTTCTTCCTGCGACAGAACGCGTTCATCTTCTCGTCATTAACCGCGCCTGTGCACCCAACTGCCAAAGCGGCAGCAGCAGCAACGTCACCAAAGAATGGGTCGCCCTAACCGCGTTCAATTGGGACATTTAAATGACCTCAAAATGATGACTCCGTATGATAGGGGGCGCCGGCTGGAAATTAAATCCGAGCGAGCGTTGCTCGAGGCACTCGAGCGCCGCAAATTGCAGGCAACGAGTCGTTCTTTTACGAAACGACTCGTGAATCGTTCACCCCTCGCTGCGTTTGGCTTCTGCGACGGGCGCATTGCGCGGCGAGAAGACACCGGCAGTCAATAAATGAATCATTTGTGCGGGACCCCGGGGTCCCGCAAAAATCGGGTCAATCATTATTATTGTTGTTGTTGTTCAGTCCGCCCCACTACGTGATCCCCGACAGCAACGCGCCGCCCGCCCAGACTACCGCGCCAACAAGCGCCAGCAGCAGGCGGCGATCAACACGATGGGCGCCACCCCCACCGGCCAAACGCGATCCCCGGTGGGACGTCCGCCGCCCTCCGGTCAGCCGTCGATCCTCAGCTCCTTTGCCAAGGCGAGCCCCACCGCCCCCCCCTCCCCCCCCCCCCCAAGGCGGTGAATTTAACGTGTTTATGTAATTTTTCAACATTTACGAAACTTAGTGCCCCGAGTAGCTCTCGACGAGGCCAATCGATTGACCACCAGTTTGTGGTTGTCGGTAAGGCCTTAACAAGACTCGTGTCGCTACGCGGTTTTTCCCCACCCCGGGGCAGATGGTAAACCCGGGGGTCCCGCCAATTGCTTCGAATGTCTTCGCTTTTCAAACGTTTGTCGGGAAGGTTGAGCGTCCCGTCTGTGCCCACGGTAAGGTGATGTTTTGTACATGTTATGTATATCGTTTATTGTAAAAAAAATGCAATCAGAGTTCCTATGATCACTATTACATTGCTTTTATAGCTTTATTTTGGTGATTTCGAAAACGTTTTTTTTTGTTTAGCCATGTTTGTTTGTTCTAGTACAGAGTTCGACTTGCATCCCACTGAGATTTTTGCACACAGCGTTGATGTACGGTGCTTTTTCTGCAAGACTTTGCTGTTTTTTTCCCTGAATTTTTCTGTTTGCGCGTAGTCACTTCAAGATGTTTTCTTGTTCATGTTTTTTTTGTTTGTTGCAGTTGCACCCGATTCAAGCGCCGAATGGCTCACAGGGCTAGACCAACTAAATGAAACTGATGGCTTCTGCTCGACTTCATTAGGCGGCTTGAGTAAAGGCGGTGCACGAGGCGTGCAAACACGACAAGATCAACTCGAGATCTCTTTTCGATCCGTTATAAACGTTAATCATCGACAAGCCCAGTCATTAATCCAGCGGTCTGATGCGCGTGCAAAAAAAAAGTGATTTCCTCCCGGCATCGGTGTTCATCTCTCGTTTACAGCACTGCCTGCCGATCCAGTCCTGGACATTCCACGTTTCTGTGACGGGGACGAGTCCACCCGTACGAGTCAACCACTTGGCTTTACCCACGGCGGCATTGATTTGATCGGCCCCGGAAGGGATGGTGGCCTCAATCTTTTTATTTGAAGCTTTCGTGACTGCAGGAATCCATATACTCTTTGGTTCTTTCGGTAAAGTCACGTAGGTAGAAATAAATAATAATAGATCACGACGTTTGGATCGCAACACAAGACGGTCGCTTGTGTCGCGATCATAAACGTCGTAATCTATTTTTTTTCTACCTACGTGACTTTACCGAAAGAATCAAAGAGTATATGGTGGCCTCAGTTCAGCCTCCCAACCAGGATTTGAAATAGTCCTAGGAAGTATTTAGTTAATGATAATTATAATGACCGTTACCTTCCAGGACGACGTGGCACGGATCAACCCGCTGTGATCCAGCACCACGTGGAGGCTGCAGCGAGGATTGGTGGATCACAGAGAGGCGGTGAAACTCCCTTCCCGGCGCCAAAAAAAATACGTGGATCCTACCCGTTCCGTCTGTGTGGGATAGAGCGTTGCCCCCTTACACGCGCGTGGATTTTCTCCGGGTGCTCCGCTTTCCTCCCACATGCACAAACACTCGTTCATTGGCCGAGAACACCTTCATTTATGGTAGTGGAGCCGACTCATCACCGCCCCTCTCTCAACGAGAGCGATGAGCGGCAACATTGCCGCGCGGTGGTGACGCAGTTGTTACAAGCTTGAGAGAAATCACAATTATCCTCGCTACAAACCACCGCAGCTTCAGACCCTAATTGCAAACGGAAGGACAATTTCGTTCACACCGAATAAACTTCACGGAGGGGGTGGAGGGACGCCCCATTTACTTTTTCTGTTTAGTTTGTCCCACACCACATCCGATTAGCACGGTTGGCTACGTACGGAGAGGAAGCGTCTACGTTTTTTTTTACCGGTCAGCGTTCACATTCAAAATAACAGATCTGCGAACCGGTAGGGCGACTGAGCCAGGGCACCGGAGACGATACATCCCCAGCGAATTCTGATCTCTGGACAAGATCGGAGCGAACCTGCTCGGATGCTATCGTCGAGTCTCCTGTCCGTGGCTATTTTAGTCGAGGGCACGGAACGGCGAGCTGTGAAAGGTGGTCAAGGCTCAAGGCAATCGCGCCTCGGGTCGACGACACGCGTGAGATTTGACTACGCAGTCGGAAGGAAGAGGACGCCTTTGTGAATGGAATGCGGCCGCTTTGTAAGTCGCACGTCCAGGGGACGACGGATAAGGAGCTGTTTGGCGAGCACTTATTGAGGCCGGCACGGCGACATTGTGTCCGGGGGTAACGTGTCCACCCGTCTTTGTCTCATTATCTCCCCCAAGGCTGGCCGACGTCGTTCGCACGAACCGCGGGCACGATATTCACATTGAAGGATGAATCGACATAAGGGGGTAGGGCGGGGTCTGAAACCAGTCGATGATGATGCTGCTGCTGCTGTTGTTTCGCCATGGTCAGAAGTCAAACCCAGGTTCTATTGGAGGAGGCGGCGGATTCGTCCGCCACAAGGAAAAGGTGTTGTGGCCTGCAGCTTCGGGGTGGGTCGACTTGGACATCCAGCAGCGGATTGAGCATGGGCCCATGGGAGATGCGTTTAATAGCCGAGTCAAACGCTTCTCCTCGCCTCGTTCGCTTTAAGTCAACCCGCGCGCTCGCAGACTCATGTCCGGCTTGAGCCAGGGGGGTTGGTTGGTGGTTCCATCTCACGATGTTCCTTCCCCACAGCGTCACATCGACGCGACAACGGAAGGCAAGAAAAAAAGAAACCGGTTTTGGAACAAGCTTCGCGGACGTGCCTCGCGAATTACGTGCCTAGAAAATTATTTGTTGGAAAAAAAAGCGCAATTAGATTTGGTGACGGAAATAACTTTACCTGCCGCAAAAGCTGGCGTGAGTCAGCCAGCTAAGCGCGATTATACTGTTGGGTAATTCGGAAATTTCAACCGTTTTCTTTGATGGAAATTTTCGTGTAGCGGTACACAGTCATCGAATTAATTCCATAAATGTTATTACACAAACGGCAGGTCGGAAATGTCAACTGTTTTCTTTGATGGAAATGCTCACAACGCAGCTTTTCAGCAACTGGTGGTTTTGAAAAATGCTAGAGGCTGGCTCGTGTATGTTTGGCGAGAGGGCAGTTCGGGATGTGGGGGAGGGGGTGGTGCTGAGTCTGGATAAGGCATTCTTCCCTCGCCACTGATGTGAGCCGTGGCCAGAAACCACACTCGGGTCGCCGGGGTGATAACGCAGCGCGCTAGCCACCGCGGAAGGAATTTATAATAAATTAAAAACCAAAATGTGTCCAGGAATTCCCATTTTCCACCCGCTTCTTCATAGCCCAGCGCCTGCCCCCCCCCCCCCAATGCCCCGTGAGACCCAGTGGTGCAGCTGCACCGCCTGCACACTCGACACCTACGAAGCCAAAAACGCCTCGCCGGTTCCCCACTCCGCACTTTACACATCTCTCATACCCTCGCACCTTGCAACAAGGTCCCGTCGGGCAAGCCGGCATGATTCCTCCTCGAACACTTACAACGTGATTTTTGCCCAAACTATATCCCGATTGCGCCATCAGCGCGGGCACAACCGATGCATTTGGAACGTGGAAGTCTCGCGGAGCGATGCTTTTGCAACCCTCCGTGCGACCAGAACGGCAAAACATTCCAAGATGCTCCCCCCCCCCGCCCCCGCCGACCCCCATTCAAGGGTTCACGTTCGTCCGTCGCGCGAAGACTCAAACCGTCACATTATTCTGCGAGCTGGAGAGGACCCGGGTTGAAGTCCGGGAACCAAATTGATAGCGACGCGACAGTTTTTTGTGCGGTCATTGGTGACCGACTTTGAGACGGAGCAACGTTCAATCGCAGGCAGATGTAAGCCTGGATTCGAACGGAGGGATCTCACTGAGCGACATAGTCCTGCCGAGGCATTCCTCAGCTCAAGTCTGTCGCCAGGGAAAGGGAGGTCTGGACGGCCCTACTCAACATGCTGCCGGGGACCCTCAACAGGACAAGCGGATTGAGAAACGAACGGACGGATCTGTGGTGCATAGTCTTGGTTCTTTCGGTAAAGTCACGTAGATAGAAAACAAAACCCACGACGTTTCGATCGCGACACGAGCGGTCTTCTTCAGGTGGAGAGAAAAGAGGGGGGCAAGCCTCCAATTTGTAGCTGCTTATAAGTACCATCGTCTTAAGAGAAATCTATTTCACGCGAGCCAGCCGCATTAAAGTAATGATCCGCTACGGCAGAAGTATTGGTCCTGCCGTGTTTCAGATCTGCCTTGTGTTCACGAACACGGTCCGAGACATGTCGCCGAGTTTCCCCAATGTAACTGCTGCCGCAGGTACAGCTTAGTTTGTAGACGCCAGGATATTGCATGTCAGGAATCTTGCCCTTCACAGATGGGATCAGGTCACGAATGTTGTGCGCTGTGTTAAATCGGACCTGGATCTTGTGTTTGTTAAAGATTTTGGAAATGTTTTGGTTATTCCCGCTATACTCTTTGGTTTTTCGGTAAAGTCACGTAGATAAAAAATAAAATAAATGAAAAAACTAAATTAAAACACGACGTTTCGGGCGCAACACAAGCGTCCTTCTTCAGGTGGGGACAACGGAGCGAAAGCACACCGCTTAAGTGTGTCTCAGAGATGGCTGTGACGAGGAGTTATATAGTTGCGGGGGATGGAGGGGGCCATGGTGAGTGTGGGGGCAGGGTGTGTCCTGGGAAGGACGCTTGTGTTGCGCCCGAAACGTCGTAATTTGTTTTTTTAATTTATTTTCATTTAATTTTTTACCTACGTGACTTTACCGAAAAAAACAAAGAGTATGAATCCTTGCAGTCACGAAAACTTCAAATCCGGAATTATCCCTGCTATGTAAGGTGACTATGTAAGGTAAGGTGATCTGTGGTGCAACGGAGTGCTCCGACCTTCCAGCCACCCGGGGCCACATCCCTTGCAGAATTACTGGACAAAATTCCACGAAACTCCTGGACGGATCAGAAACTCCCGAGACCCCAGCAGCACGCACCGCCCAACCGCGCCCTATTCCATCGGTTTATTTTTATTTTTAAATTATGAGCATCTTAAGACATCGTACAAGGCAAACGTTAATCTCTAATAAGTAAATAGTCAAACATTTCGTTATCTAGACACCACCTTTATTTATATGGTGACAACCTGGTCTTACCGACGCCCCCCACCCCCGACCCTTTCCTCCCCTACACAATAACCAAAATAGATCTGCCCCTTTCGACCCCCTCTACCGTTACATCGAGCCAACCCTGTGTGTGAACGATGACGCTCCCACCCGCTGCCCGCCACGCAACCCCCCCCCGCGCCCACCCCCATCAACAATCGCACAGCTCTACAAAGCCCGCAACGTTAATTGCGAGACCCAATGGAGCCGAGGAACACCGTCGGCGGAACGGAGGCTGGGTGCGTTGGCGTTTCACTGCAGCACGCAGACTTTGTCGACCCCGTCGGGTCGCAAGGCGGCGTGGACGATGGCGGGAGAGGGAGAACCCTCGGCCTGCGCACCGCGCCGCTGTCCCGCCCCCCTGCGACTTCGTGTTGTATCGAATATCGGACAAACGCAGCCGGAGAGAAGTTTTATTTAAAGCGTGGATTTCGGTAGATTCCACCGCGACCGTGAATCGCACCGCCCGCGTTCTGTACTGCGGTAGGGCCGCACCCCCCCCCACCCACCACCATTCCCACGCAGGGGCAGTCGGTGGTTGTGGGACGCAGATTCTCCTCCATCCCTTCTAATCCCACCCCCATTCCATCCCCTCCCCCTCTCTGCAGAGCAACGTTTGCCACCAAGGCCAGACGACACTCTTTACTCCTTTTTCCACTGCCACATCCGAGCAGAGGCAGCGGTCGGGGGGGGCCCTCACGGACCGGGTTGGGTTTTTCCACTGGCTATTTTCCTCGAGCCGAGCCGGAACACAAAGCAGCAATCTTGCTGCTTGCCTCGCGAGACATCCGAATCCGGATCGAGGCCAAGCAGGACCAAAGGGGGGTTGTGACGTCAATCGGTACGCCGCGAGAACACGCGGTTACCGCACCGTCCAGGTGCTTCCCAATTGATTTGCTCCTCGGGACGCGAGGCAGTGGAAAAACAACCCGAGCTGCACCAGTCTGGCACGGCACCGGCGCAGCTCGATTGTGCCAGTGGAAAAAAGCATCACTCGCGCCCGTCTACACGTCTGCCACCCCCCCCCCCCCCAACCTTGCCAGCATTCCCTCCCATCTGCCCCGATCGGACGAACGGGTGGGCAGACAGACAAGCGGTGGCGTCTCGGAAATGGCGATTAAATCAACGGTAATCAACATGGCGTCTCTGAATTGTGTTCTCAACATTAGGTTCGTCTTTCGTCGGTAATGTTTACGATATAATATATTTATTTAATTTTAACTTTCGTTCCCCTTCCCCCCACTCCTCCCCCCATTGATGTACGACTGCTTGCTTGCTTGCTTTTTTTTAAACTATTCTCTCTATTTAATAAGTGGCCGGGACACGGTGGTTTAATGGTGACTGGATGAAATGTACGTGGCTGGTGTTGCGATACAGCGGTCGGCAGAGCAAGCCCTGATAATGAGCGGCGGCACATCTGTGTTTTTTTAAATAAAACAATAAAAAGAATGATAAGGCCAAGACTAAACGAATGAGAGAGAAACAAATATAACCCCCTTCCCGTGTGTTGTCAACAGGGTGCTGAGCGCGGGGGGGGGGGGGGGCGGTGGGGGGGGGGGCCCTGTGGGGCAGTGGGCGGAGCCCGTGGGAGGAGGAGGGGGAGAGGGGAGGGGCTAGGAGCCCAGGAGCCGCTCTATGGCGGCGTTGATATCTCCGCCCGTCGCTATCAGCGCCTGCAGGTTCGCGTCCCGGTTCACGAAGCCCATGGCCTGCAGTTGGTCCAGCTGCGAGCGGAACCGCACCTCGGGGCTCACGATGGCACCCCCTAGTGGCTGCACTCACACAAACAAAAAGACAAAGGTCGCCAATGTAGCTTTGAACTGTCGGGGCAAGTGCTGTTAACGAGTAGCATTTAAAAGAAGGTCGATGTGGCACACAAGGGGGGTGGGGGTGCCCAGCACCACGCCAGGCCACCTTTGTCTCCCCTTCAACGCTGTCGACCAAGGGGGGGTCTCCAGGAACGATTCCCGGTCACAGCCACCATTGTCGTTGGCTGCCAGCGGGAATAAAATTTGGGTCACTGGGTTCGTAGCGCGCGCGCGCACACACAATACGGCTTTGCGATCGTTGGAGCTGCCCGGGCACCGTGTTTTAAGAAGCTGCTGGCACGTGGAATGAAACGTCGGACACCACAACAAACGGCACGCGGTGCAACCAGAAGACAGATCACGAGTTGTGTCGCACGACTCGCCGAACCTCCGCAATCGTGACCCTGCCATGTTTTTTGTAATCCACGCCAAGCGCGGCAGACACGTTTAGATTTTCACCGACGGTAAACTATTTTTGTGGATGTCGTATAAAACAGGCAGGCCTACATCAAGGCCTTGGTGACATATACGCCCCCGATAAAAAAAATTCTCAGAACTGGAACTTCGCCAAAATTAAGAGAAAAAACACACTTGATGTGACAGTTTATCTGTGCAGTCACTGTTGACCGGGCAAAGCCCATGAACACACTTCTGAACTAGGTTTTAAACAATAAAACTATTCAAAATATTAACTATTTTTTATTTTACCAAGTAAGGTCCACCAAGCTGTACAGCTCTTTTTCAGAAGCGACCTGGCCACAAGTGATAGCTCAACTAAGTGGCTTATCACGTTGAAATTTCTAACGGCCAAATACTCTAAAAGCATGTTTCTAAATGTGGAAGGAAAAACCGGAGGACCTGGAGAAAAATCCACACAACCACGGGGAGAACATGCAAACTCCAAATATACGGGCATCAGTCGAGATGGAACCCACGACCTCCTGTTTTATCAAGCGAGGTAGTTAACATTCGGCATTTAATCCCAGTCATCTGAAAACTGGATTCGAAACTCGCCAAAATCAAACGTCGATTTTGAGCCACAACGGCCATGAATGACGACCGTGTTGAGGCCCTCCTTGGCTGTATCGCCTGCAGGCCTACACATCCCACGTATGGATCAGTGGACTCCAGGCCTTGTAGCATTTAGATTTCCTAACTCCGTGCATCGCACACTGAGATCCCTTCATGAACTGCCCCTTATAACTGACAATTATTTTAACATGGGAATGAAACGTTATCTGCTTATTTAGATTGTTAACTATATTCTCCACGACGAAGCTAATGATTATTTTTCTGGCATTCATCGTTTACTTACGTGAAAACATAAAAAAATAGTTCGTTCGACAGCGCCTGTTGTTGGACAACCGCGCGGTAACCGCAGACAACTGCGTGGTCCCAGACCGGGCGAGCCGCTGCCACAAATGAAATATGGGCCGATTACCGTCTTAACAGCGGCCATAAATAAAGCGGGCCGGGGGTGGGGGTTGTCTGTGGCTAACCGCACAGCATCCTGCCTGCGAGCTGCTACCGTAAAACCGTCACCGATTACCTTAAAAAACAAACGTGCGAAACCACACACGGCCGACAACAAAAGCGGTGTTATACCGCAGCGGAAGAACGCGAAATTGCGACCTCAACAACAAACAACAACAACCGGCCCTCACCTGCGAGCTGCCCATCCCCGCGAGTGCCTGCAGCATCTGCTGCATGAACTCCTGCTGCGCCGGGGTGGGAGCCTGCCCCAAGCCCAGGCCCGCCGCCGCCGTTCCAACGCCACCCGTGCCTCCCCCCCCCCACGTTCCGCTGCCCCCCAACGTTCCGCCCCCGCCCGCCGTTCCGCCGGCGGCGGCGGTCGTGGCCGTGCCTCCGTCTGTCGCCGTCCCGCTCGCCGGCGCTGCCGCCGACTCTGGCTGGGCACCACCCCCCGGGGTGGACAGTGCCGCCCCACCGACGCCGTCAAAGCTGCCCGGCACCAGCCTGCGTGGAGGACGGCGGGAGGACGGCGGGAGGGAAGGGCGCAACAGCATCAAGCGATGTGGCCGGCGAAACTTCAGAGGTTATTCAGAGACCTCTTTCTACCACGCAAACAGAACCCCGGCGCCGTGGACCGTGCCGAGCCAGCCCGGCGCGGTTCGGGAAGCTACCAGTGGGGCTTGCTTTTCTACCGCGGAAGCTGAGCCCATTCCCAACACGGCCAAGTGAGTGATGGAAGGCGAGAAAATAGATCGATGCAGGTTGGCTACATACGGTGCAAAATGAGTTCAACGTACGTACGTACATACGTAGCTAACATTGATGTGTGTGCTGGTCTCTCACCCCGGCATGAGGCCTGGAACCTCGTTGGCGAGGACCTGTAGCCCCTGCTGGATCTGCATGAGCGCCATCATGGCGCGCGGGTTCGCGATGGCCGACATCACGTCCGGGTTCTGCATCTGTGTGGGCGGAGCATGGGGGAGACGCGCACGGGGGGAGAGACGCACGGGGAGGGACACGCACGGGGAGGGACACAGGGAAAACCACACATGGGGAGACACATGGACGGTTTGAGCAATGGCAATGTGTTCCCTGTCCCCACACACAGCGAGTTGTATTTGAGCATGGCGACGATACCGGTCTAGTAGACACGTATATCTGTCCACGATAACCAACTATCAGGTAGCTGATGTAGCGTCCAGCTTAATTTGCATGCAAATGGAATAGGATGGCGATCGGGGGGTTAGGCTGCCCATGCGGGAATCGCGAGCACGGGCGTTTTGAGACCAACTTCCCTAAGGCTAAAATTGGAATTCACATATAATTTGAATGAATTACAATAAATTCTTACAGGCATGCACCAAACAATATTGCGTAACATGTGCATCGTATAACCATCAAATGCAATCAGATCGAAGCTATTGAACCAGGTGACAGCCCAGTGACCTGGGCTAACGTACACAGTCGACGAATCATGCTGTGTGGGCAGCGTCGCGCATTCACACGTGCAGAGGTTAACCCACAAGAGGCCCACGTGCAAAGAACCCCAATCGCCGCCGCTTACAAAACACGTCCAGCAGTCAAACGTGGCTCGCGCCGCTGCTTACAAAGCAGTGCGCCTGCCGCACTGAAAAGTAACGAGGCACAGGCTGGGGGGGGGGGGGGGGTAGGGACACAGCCATCCTCACACCTGCTGTAGGAACACGGGGAGCTGCGTCCTCATATGCTCTCTGAGCTGCGGGTTCCCTTCGAAGATGGGGCTTGTCAGGAACACCTGGCAGGTTAAAGGGAACAAGGTGGGGAGAGAGAGAAACAGCTAGGATACAATCTCGCTTGCCCAGGCTCGCCCGTGACACCACTCTCTTTAAGATACGACGGAAAATCAAATTTCGCAACGCGGCGTTCATCTCCATATCGGTTTCGCCCTTAACTCGTCGGGGGGGGGGGGGGGGTTATCACAACGTCAGTTTCGTAAATCGAAATAGACATTCGCACCTCCATAAGGAGGTTTTTTTTTTGGGTTAGATCGCATAAATGTGTCGTTAAACCCACCCACAACCGAATAGTAAGGTTTGTCCCGTCAACAAAACGTGCCCGCCGGTGAGCGAGTGGCCGAATCGAATCGGCGAGCGTTGTATCATCAATCACACCTTGCCCCCCCCCCCGCTGCATGGGTAGGTCGGGAGCTTCGTCAACTTGCACTATAATCCACCAACCCTCACCTCCACAGTGCTCCATTGCAGGCATGTGCCACCAGCATATGTACGGGCGTGCGTGCAGCTGTACGTACAGTTGTATGTATGTGCGTGTGGTCGTATGTATGTATGGTTGTGCGTGCGTGCGTGCAGCTGTACGTACGGTTGTGTGTGTGTGCGTGTGGTCGTATGTATGTATGGTTGTGCGTGTGTGCGTGCAGCTGTACGTACGGTTGTGTGTGTGTGCGTGTGGTCTTTTGTATGTATGGTTGTGCGTGCGTGCGTGCCGCTGTACGTACGGCGGCTGCGCATGTGGTCGTATGTACGCGTGTGCGTGCGACTGTGCATACGGTTGTATGCGTGCATGCGTGAGGCCGTGTAAACGCGTGCGGCTGCCGCCGCCAGGTGCGTACCTGCTCAGCGAGCGAGGGGTTCAGGGCGAGCGCCTGCAGCATCGCGGGCATGTACGGCGCCGACATCATGTTCTGCATGAGCTGGGGGTTCGCCGCAACCTGCCTCATCACGCCTCCTGGGATCACCAGCATCGCTGCCACACGCGCGCACACACACACGCACGCGCACACCAGACGCACACGCGCACGCACGGGGTACAAAGACGCCCTCCGTTTAGCTGTGCGGACCTGCTGCGGCACGCCCCGTTAGTGACTGCCTATTAGCGGGAGGCCCCCCCCGACTTACGGTCGGGGGGGCCCTCCCAACTCCCGCGCCCCACCACAGCCACTTTTACCTCCCCCTGGTGGTGGTGAAATGGAGGGACGCGGCGATACGAGAGACCGCTGCCACGCTGGTCAGCGTGGGTTGGTGATAGTTGGGGGACGATAAGAGAGTACGACAACGCATTTTGCTACACCGCCCTCTGCTGCCCCCCAGGCAGCACTGCAGGCCACACAAAGGTGGTCGCCGTCCCAGCACAATCCAGGGCTCGACCGGCTTCCGCGATCCGACGAGATCGGACGATTATTATCATTAGAAAAAGGGACAAAGGTGCAGCGCTGATATTTCTTACTCACGCCACTGCTGGAGGAAGGGCCTTCAGTAGAGCGAGCTCTATGAGCCCATCTAATAGGGCGTTATTGGGCCTACTCTCCCACGCTGGCCAGACATCTTCAAAGAGGTGAGAGTACTGCACTTAAAACTCCACCACGCGCAACCCGCCGATGAAATTAACTGTGGTGAACCCATACCCACAGCTTGGTGGACAGAGGGCGGGAGAGGCAGTGGGGAATTTTAAAAACTTGCCCCATGGCTTCAAGTGCCACACCAGTGACATCTTGGTCGCGAGCCAAATATGTCGCTGACCATCACACTGCTGTGGCAGCAGCAGCAACATCCCTTGGTGCCGCTATCGTCGTCATCCAAATCAGAATATTTATTTATACTGGAGGAATTTATACTGGAGGATGTCAGGTCAGGGCACGGGGTCAGAACGTTACAGGAACAAACAAGAGAAAAACAAGACTCATATTTTTTCAATAGCGTATCCCTCTCACTTCCTGTCATCCTTAAATCCGTAACCATCCTCACCCTTCCCCTGGATATCAAAAATGATAGCGCGAGTAAAACGCTGGCGCCACCGACCGGGATGGATGCCCAGCGGGTTGGAGACGCTGGGCGTCGCGCCGGGCGTCTGCTGCTGGAGGAGCGGCGAGGCGGGCGAGGCGGAGCCGGGTCGTGGCGACAGCGCCGGACCCCACGGGTTGGGCAGCGGCTCGCGGTTCTCGGTGCGCGACGGTTGCCCCTCGGCGTTGCCGCCGCCTGGCGCCGTGCCGCCCGTCCCTCCCGAGCCCGCGTTGCCGCCGGGGCCGCTGAGCAGCGAGGCGAACGGGTTCCCTCCGAACTGCGGAGGGGGCGGAGCGATGGTGTGGGGGGGGGGGGTGATGCAGAGAGATTGATGGATGACGAGGCGGATCGTTACCGTGCGGGGCAGGAGACGGTTGTCCCCCTTCTCGTGGTGGCTCCCCCGCCCCGAACCTGTTACGTATTTTCGTGTCACCTTAAACGTAACTAATGTACCGTAACGCGGCGTCGAAATGGACGTCGTCAATTCTAATTCAATACGCAAGAAAATAAATAAATGGTTCGTTCCTAAATTCCCCGGTTAACTGAAAAAGGCGTACACACCGCATCTCAGCGCTGCCATTCTATTGCTCCTGCTGCTGCCAAGCCAAGGGGACCCCCCAGCCCCCTAGTGGCAGTTGTCCATGTACATCAGAAGGTGCACCGGACTGCCCTGTCCTCATGCTGGCCTGAGAGAAGGTTCTGTCGTTACGTTTGTTAATTTCGCGCGATGCACTGACATACATTGCAGCTGCGTCAGTAGTTACTGTTGCGACACCTCCCGAATCAACTGCATCAACCGAGTCGCCTCCACCACTCACATCACCCTTCACACCAGCTGAATCATCTGCCCCAATATCATTCATCCCTCTCTTGAAGCTTATGTAGAGGCATAGCGTTGGCTGCTGGCGGAAAAAGGTAAATGCGGTGTACGGCAGTACTCAACGTCAGCAGGCCACGATATATACGAGAGCGGGACTATCTAGGGCAGGGGTCGGCAACTTATGGCTCACAAGCCAGATGTGACTCTTTTGATGACTGCATCTGGCTCGCAAATAAATCTTAGCTGACATTTCTTAACATGATACTTATAAGTCTTATCATGCTAAGACTTATAAGTCTTATCATGTTAAGAAATGTCAGCTAAGATGTATTTGCGAGCCAGATGCAGTCATGAAAAGAGCCACATCTGGCTCGCGAGCCATAGGTTGCCGACCCCTGATCAAGGGGAAAGGTCACAGAAGGGCCCATTGGGAAACCCCGGGAACCCGCTAGTAGGTTCCAGAAAGGGGGCGTGGCCCGGGGGCGGAGCAAGGCCACGCTGGGAGTATAAGAGGGGCCCCCTTGTGTGGGACATCGTGGATGTTGCTGGAAGTGGGATCCCCGTCGTGCTGCTCAAGATCGTCGTCGTTACCATCTCCTCGTCGTCGTCTCTGTCTTCACCATCCCCGGGACGCTGTTAGTCAGACAGCCTACCAACTGTTCTTAGTCGTGGCGCCGGCAATAGACGGTCTTAATAATAAGTGTGCGCCCACGTGGGTGTGTGTTATCCCGATGGTGCTTGTTCAATAAAAGAAGTGCATCCAGTTAGTACGCTCTCCGAGTTGAGTCGCTACACTTATATTGTCCCCTGCACATCATTGAGGCCAAACTTCATTGCCTCAACTCTACGCATCACCCGAATCAACTACATCACCTGAGTCAACGCAGGGTTGTTGCTATTACTGTTGCTAACGTTTGGCCGTTGATATTTAATACACGAGCAGTTCACCGGACAAGTGCTCCTCTCTCTCTCCATTAGTCCGGCCAGCCAGGGTTTTACTGCATTTGAAAGTACAATCGCACCACGTGACATTATCACGAACCATTAGCTACAGCACTTGCATAGCTTGTTAACATCCCTTAACCCCCCCTCCCCTCCCCGCCACCGCCCCCTCCCCCTTGTGTCGTCACCTGCTCCTGCGCGGCGCTCAGCATGGGCTCCTGGATGTCGGTGTACATACGGCGCAGCGCGTTGTACCCGCCGGGGATGCTTTCCAGGTTGCTGAGCGCGCGGTCCTGGTTTCGCATCATCTCCTGCATCATGGCCGGGTTGCGCGCCAGTTCCATCGTCTGCGTAGAACGCGCGCACGGAAAGATCAACAGGCAAACTCGGGCGTGCACAGAGGAACAGAGGACGCGGACGCATGCGCGCAAACGACGCGCGGACGGATGGATGGACGCACGGAAACGTTATGGAGGCATGCAGACAGACACGCGCGCACACACACACACACGGACACATGCAGACGCACACACATGGAACAGACACACAGACTCACGGCACACATAACGATACACAGAGGCACACACATGGATACATGCACAGACACAAAAGAGAGATGACACAGATGATGACATGCACAGACACAAGGACAGATAAAAGCAGAAACACACACAAACACGAGGGCATACACACACACACACACACGGACGTACAGCCAAATGCACACACGGAGAGACGGACATGCGGTTACAACGATCGGGAAACCCACGCTGAGACACGGATGCGTGTTGCACAAATGGGGCAGCGGGTAGGTACAGCAAGGTTCTCGAGTTCAGTGGAAGGGTGTCCTGATAAATCCATTTTATCTCATAAAAACATCGTTATTTCCATGAAGACCAAACTTAGCTCATTACCCGTATGACTACTTGGGAGTATTAGCACTACCAATACCGTTACCAGCACCGCCTCCAACTCCGCAACGGTTTCAAACTCACCCCGAGGGGCCTGCGGGGTCAGTAACCCGCCTGCTGTACTGCGTCTCACCTGCCGCAGCAGCTCGGGGTTGTTGAGCATGTGCGTGATCTCGGGGTTGCGCTCCATCAGCTGCTGCATCTGTGGGTTGGTCATGATGAGCTGCCTCATCATCTCTGGGTTGCTGATCATCGTCTGCACAAAGGGGTTCTCCATGACCTGCAGTGGTATAAGGTGGGTTTGTGGGGGGGGGGGGGGAGGAGGAGGCATGGGGAAAGGGGGTGGAGAACACGAGGCATGTGGTTGAGTGCCACGGTGTGGGGTGCTACGGTGGCTAGGAGATGTTAGCTGCCTCGCCTGGTATGCAAGCGGTCGTGTGTTCGATCCCGACATTGACACCTCCTCTATATTCTTGGTTCTTTCGGTAAAGTCACGTAGAAGGGAAATAATAAAATAATACAAATAAAACAATAAAATTCTCACGACGTTTCGATTGCAACACAAGCAATCATCAACAGGTGTGAAAGCCACAGAAACATTTTTTTTAAAAGTAGCGTTTTTTTCTTCAAATTTTATTGCTGTGGTTTTCACACCTGATGATGATTGCTTGTGTTGCAATCGAAACGTCGCGAGAATTGTATTGGTTTATTTTTATTATTTTATTATTTCCCTTCTACGTGACTTTACCGAAATAACCAACAATATGAATCCCTGCAGTCACGAAAGCTTTAAATCGAAATTTAATCTACTCTATATTTGGAGTTTGCGTGCCTCTCTCGATGTGGTTGTGCGGATTTAGTTTTTTTTTTATAGTGCGATGCAGCAAAGCTATTCTGAACAACACACACAAAGGCGCGGTTACAAATCGAAGGATGGCACAATTCCAATCATACCTTGCATGCACGTCGTGTTTTATTTTTTTTAAACAGTTGCTAGGCACAGGCCCAAGGGCCCAAAACGTCAAGCGGCCAGCATCAAACGGCACGATCAAAGTGGATAGCAGATAATTAAGAGTCGACAGGCTTCTTGAGTTGAGCAACGTTATTATTATTACAATAACTTGGGGGGGGGGAGGCGATGGAAGGGGATTTCCCAAGTGAAGCAGTACCAGGGAAGAAGCGGAAAGAGAAGCGTGGTGAGTATTTGAGTGAGAGTGAGTGAGTGAGCAGGAAAGTGGCTGGGTAAGTGTGGTGCTTGAACACAGCACGGATGAGGCGAAACGGTCAATCTGGTTGACCCGAGTCAACAACATGGGGTAGAGGAACCAAAGAGTTCACCTATGGCTCACTGGAACAGTGACCATGGTGGTAGTCGTAGTAGCAATAGAAGAGTGATAAAGAGGTGACTGTCCGCCAGCGAGCAAGTGATAGGAGTGAAGAGGATGCGTCCACCACATTGCTCGTACAATGTGCTCAGCCTTATGGCGGTGACCGTGTGGCGGTAACATTCACTAGGTGGTTGGAGTTTCGTTCGGCGTTGCGAGCCGCAAGAGCCGTGGGCCAGCGAGGGGCAGGGATTCAAACCTGGCTGAGCAGCTCGGGGTTGGACATGAGCTGGCGCTGCATCTGCTGCTGCATCTCCATGAAGTTGGAAGAGCCGACGCCGAGGTTACTGAGGCTGGCGAGACCACCGAGGTTCCCCCCTGCACCACAACGGACAGCGAGGGCACAGTCACGGTGCGTGAACGCGTGAACCTCATTCAACTCCGTCCCTTCCGCCCACAATGAGGGGGCACGATAACTCTCGTAAGGACAACGCGAAGCAAATTAAACTTTAGCACAAAGTTACGTCGCAAGTGGGGATTAGTGGAGGGGAAGCCTGCGCCAGTCAGAAGAAGCGAGGTGCCTCGGGTGACACTAGCAAGCGCCATCTGACAAGTCCCCCATGATGAAGCACAAGCGTCCGAGTTGTGGGAGGATCTGGGTTGCTCGGTCATCAACGGAAGCACCCTGACAAACTGGTCAGTGAAGATGGAGGAGTCATTATCTAATGCGATGGACAGCGATGACAATTAACGGCTTAGCGTGTTGAAAAAAATGGCTAAAATATATCAAAAGGGGATGAACCAAAACGTGCAAAGAACACTGGAGCGTGAAGGAGCCAACACCACAGCACCGGACGAGCCAACACACCACCACCGCCACACCATTCAATCACACCACTCCACTCAATCACACAGCCACGCAGCACTGCCACACAACTCCACTCAATCACACAGCCACACAGCACTGCCACACCACTCCACTCACCGAGGAAGAATGGCGGCAGGCCGGGAAGCGGCTGTGTGGGGGGTGGTGCGGTGGTGCTGCTGCTGCTGCTGGAGCCTGTGGAGGTGGGTGTGGTGCTGGCACCCGAGGAGGTTGGCGCCGACTGTGATGCCGGCTCCTGTGATCTGGGGGTCAGATGGAGAGGGACCAGCGGGGGTTATTGATGGGGGGGGGACAGTTGGGGGGGGGGGGGGGTCAGAGTTTCAGCAGTGGCAGGGAAATGATCTTCCTGTTGTTGCTGCTGTTGAATTTGCTTTTCAGTTGAACTATTGAAACTAGCCATGCTGGATTCATCACCACGAACCCTTCTCGGTAGATACACCAGCCGGCCACCCCTCTAAATGTCCACTCAAGCAATTCAAGATCACTTCTCATCCACGTGGTGGGATCACCTCTGACATCCTCCGTCTCACCAGCACTCTACACACACCCTCTGAGCTCTACCCCCCCCTCTCTGGCTGCACCCACCACCCTCTCCCTCCAGGGTACCACCTCTGCAGCCGTGTAAGCTTGCACCTCTGGCAGGGCTGGTGGAATTGCTGTCACGTTGAAACAATACATTCCAAGACTTTCACCTCATCCGAGTATCTCCCCCTCTCCGTCTCCCTTCACCTCTCCCCTCCCATCGACAAACTCTCTGCCATCTACAGTTGGCCAAATTCGTCCACGAATATTCAGCTACAGAAGCTCTCGGCACGTGGAGTGAAATGCTGGACGTTGTGATGAATAGCGGTTAAGACAATCGGAAATTAGGGCGGAGAGCTAGCTTAAGTGTTCTTCATTATCCGTGCTCTTACCCTTCCTGCCTACGCTACCCAAGATAATTCAGAGCCGACTGTATTATATTGTAATTGAGAGCCGACTGTACTGTATTGTAATTGTGAGCCAACTGTATTGTATTGTAATTGAGAGCCAACTGAATTGTATTGTAATTGAGAGCCAACTGTATTGTATTGTAATTGAGAGCCAACTGTATTGCACTGTAATTGAGAGCCAACTGTATTGCACTGTAATTGAGAGCCAACTCTATTGTATTGTAATTGAGAGCCCACTGTATTGCATTATGTAATAGATCAGTAATCAGCCACTTAGCATGTGATTCACCTATAAGGAATTGCAATGTGTTGTGTATTACTTAATAATACGCTTCCAGGCTGCACTACAGCTATCACAGCAATTCTTCTCAATTTCAATTGATTATCTAACTAATCTTGGCCAGTAATAAATCGTTCTGCATAACACTTCAACGTTATCAAAATCAATTGAATGTCCTTGTTGGCAAGCATGCCCTGCCACTGCTGACACAGCAGTGTTTGGGAAAATGTAATGTTCTTTTGGTGTTCTTTTAGTCTTACGCTAATGTCACATCCCGTCTGTCCAATATAACACTTACCGCATAAAGCAATTGATCCGATATACACCTTCTGTTGATAACTTTGGTAATTCTTCTTTAGTACAAGACAGTCGTTTTTTAATTTTGCGTACCGTACCACCCACGCCTCTAATCTCGAATCCTGATGGGGTTTAACAATTATTATGAAGACCGGAAGCAGGTGGATGGCTACACTATTCTGGCAAATCGCCCGAAGATGCTGGATGTAATTACCAGTGAAACATCGTACTCAAACTGTAAATGTCGTGGATCCACTCTTCCAACACACCGGTGGGCTAAAGTAGCCAACTATTTTGTCTTTTGTCAATGTGACACATTTTTTACTGATTGGCCGTGTCAGGTGGTGGAGGGTTGCGACACATTTATAAATAACGCGATCTAACCCAAAAACCTTTATTATCAACTGTATTGCATTGTAATTGAGAACCGACTGTATTGTATTGTAAATGAGAGCCAACTGCATTGCATTGTAATTGAGCCAACTGTATTGTATTGTAATTGAGCCAACTGCATTGTATTGTAAATGAGAGCCAACTATTGTATTCTAATTGAGCCAAGTGTATTGCATTGTAATTCAGAGCCGACTTACTGTATTGTATTGTAATTTGAGAGCCGACATTATTGTCATTGAGAGCCAAGTGAATTGTATAGTAATTGAGAGCCGACTGTATTGCATTACAAATGAGAGCCGACTCTACTGCATTCCAATTGAGAGCCTATTGTATTGTAATCTAGAGCCTTGGCTGCAAGCCACTGCCAGGCTTTCCGTGACTCTGGGGCCTTCCAGCGAACGTGCGCTCCCCAGTATTAATTTAGTCGGCAATTTTTTTCATTATTTTACTCGTTCTAAATAAAGCAACCTGTGGAATTCTAGCCGAGTCTCATTCTATTAGTATCATCAACTACAGCAGTCACGTATTTGGTCAAAGCGGAGTTATTCAACGTTGGTGCGACAGGCCGCTCAATATCCCCCTCTGCCAATATTACCAGGTCAGCCAATCAGAAAAATGATTTTACATACAGTCCTCTCGTTTTATCCGCGTGTGGTTTCTCCGATTTGTGGATGAACCGCGCACATCAGATTTTAACATGTATTAATAACGCTTGGATGTTTTCCCTTCAGCCCAAATTATTAACATAAAAACAGTTATACCACGTTATTTTTGGAAATGTTAATTACAAGTCACGTGCTTAAACCTAACAAATATGTGCTCCGGTAAATCCTAAATCCACGTGATCGCCTCAATAGTAAAGTAGTTACATATCTTTACAACAGTTTGATTGATGTTGATTGCCATGGTTCTGCTACCCAATTCGTGGAGTCTTCTGCGAGGGAGCAGGAAAGTGTTATCGTCACCACGCGCATCGACCGTGAGTATTCGTTCTTAATTTATAGAGATCCGCGGAAGATGAATATTTCTGGACTATCCGCAATATTAAATAATCCGCGGCCGTCCTCCCCCGTCATTAGAGCGGATAATCAAGTCTACTGTACATACATATGGCTAATTATCACATTCGGCCTCCTTGAGTGCACCGCAGTCTCGAACAATGTTGCTGAATGATCTCAGTCTCAGAGTCTTTATCAGGACCCGTTAATTCCATATTGTCACAGCCAGTCATGCTTTTGTCTTTGACGGAGTAGGCGGGTCGCCGTCAATGAAGAATTTTCATCGCTCATCGTCGTTTAAAAGAGACAACGCTACTCCGGCGCGCGGGTTACCCACCTGCCCTGCGTCTTGATGACCAAGTGAACTGTGAGACCGTCCTTCACACCGTTCTGGCTCAGCGAGTCCGGATCCTTGAGGATCTTCCCCGCGAAGATGAGCACCAGCTGATCGGGCTGAGCCTTGAATCGCTTCGAGATCTCCTCCTTGAACTGAATGTGCACGGGGGGGGAAGCAAGAGCCGACAATGTTTTTGTTATTCTACGTAAAATATATAAGTGGAAGACGCCTGCACTAGGAAACGGTTCTTATGAGATGTGTTATCCCCACAGCCAACAGAGGTTTGTATGTATGGGAACTTCTTTCGCACCGTACGTAGCCAGCCGTGCTAATCGGAGGTGCGGGTTTTCCTACCGACTCGAGTTTTCCTCCAACATGCAAAACGCTACTTACAAAAAAATGTCCTAAACATCCGAGTGATCCACAATTGATTTGTGTCAGATGGCATAAGTCAAATGTGGGTCGTAAATCCTCCTCCACCTGAAACACCCAATCAGCAGAGCTGCGGGGCGAACAAACGTGCCAATTTGCGTCCGCTTCAGCACATGACCAGTGTGCTGGACAGCGATCCACGCACATTTAACTATTTGTGTTGGGCTGAGGAGGGTCTACGACACACATTTTACTTCTGCAATCAGATCCAGCAATCAGTTATAAATAGTAAATATTGGTCGTGAAGGCCTACGTGTTCAATCGGAAAAGTCAACCTGAAAACGCGTATGAAAGAGTTAATGTATGAAGAGTTAACTAGGTTTCTCAGATAAATAAATAAAAATATGTTACATTGAGGTCTCTCAACTCGAGCCAAGCCTGACGCCAATGAAAACAACCCAGTGCAAGCGTGGCATGCAAATAAGATAGGCGTGCCCGATTTGCTAGATCATCTACTTAATAATCTGGCGTATTTTTGTCTGTATATATGTGTACGCATAACACCTCCTAGATCGCTCTAGCAAATTGAAACGAACGAGTTAGTTACTCGAAAGTTTGCGATTTGGAAATTTACGCACGACGTCGAAATAGCAACAACAAAAAGACCATCGACCTCATACGGCCGCTTATCCGTTTTGCGATTTACAATAAACTGCCACGTGATGCGAGCCCCGTTTTCAATAATCACACAACAGGATTGGCGAGCGCCATTTATTACGGTTTAATCTCAACAGGCTTCCCACCAATCAGGCGTACATTGCACCACCGGCGACACAAGTGGCGCTCTCGTGACGTTGAGGTGAGGAGCGCGCGAGAAGCGGCTGGAATGTTCCCTGGCATAATCAACCCTGGGTCCAAGGTCTACTGACTGTAGCACCCACCCTCCCTCCCCACGTGCCTGCACCGATGCCACCGTAATGCCCCCCCGAGTTCCTCATGCAACGCACGAGCCAGAGAGGCAGAACGCCTCCAGAGCTCCCGTGCTTACCGGATGACTCATCATCAGCCATGCTCAATCCCACTGATGGGCAAGCCCTCCCCGAGCCGTTACCATCTCTCACGATAATCCGCCAAGCGCCTGCACCATGAGCTTAATTTCCTTGATCCATCTCCTAGGCGCGTCCCCTCGGAAAAATTCCATTCCTTGGTTGCCGCTCCCCATCACTATTCTTGACCAGCGGCCATCACCCCTTCTCGCCCTGACGTGTCCTGCACTCAAGCCCACCGGCTTTTCTTCAGTTTGTCAGTTCAGCAAGATTTGAACAACGCGACGGTCCGGGTGTTGTACGTAGCAGTGATGGCCACAGTTGTCCACTTCATACCCATGTAACGCCGACGACTGTGGTTAGTTTTTTTTAAAGCTTTATTAATAATTCTATGCAGACTTAATGTGTAAACATCAATGATCGGTCGGCCGCACATTTTTAAATGCCAAACTATAAAGGCAAAGGTCCAGCCCTGTGCGTGTGTATCTGCCCGATCGCATTAGCCAACGTGCTGACTGATGAGCCCATACACATACATAGGCTTAGATGAGCAACTCAATACACTTGCATAGTGCCCCATACACTTACATAGGCTTACATCTGTTGAGCCAACAGCTTCATTATTTGCATAAGGTCAGATGCTCAGATTTTCTCTCTCTATGTGCTTCTATTCTGTGCCTCTACTCTCGTTACATCCACTGTTCTCACCTCTCGGTTACACCACATCCTCTCATCTCACCCTCGGTCTCCCACTCCTCCCTTCTGGTGCCTTCCCCAGAATGAAACTCAGATTCAACAACAGAGATAAGCGTAAATAACAAAAGTCGACCACAATGCTCTGTTAGCAACATTTCCCAGTTGACTCCGACATAAGACTCGCATTGAACGGTCAAGGCCTTTTAAAGTTTTAACTCTGTGAAAACAAAACTGATGCCCAATGCAGTAATCAAGAGTTCTCACAATTAACACCCACAGCAGATATACCCACCGACTAGAAATGTGTTTATACATAAATAGTGCGTGCAGGGATGAATGGAGTGCAGTCACTTAGAATGCTGTCACCAATCCAATCTTTGGTTCACCAGGAGATCCAAACAAACTCCTTGAGAAACCCATGTAGTGTATGAGCATAGTCTTGTTCGCAAGAATACCTGGTCAACGGATCATTAACAAATGTGCCAGGATTTGTTACCCTATGTTTTAAACAGCAGATGGGTTATATAATGCAAGCGCCGAGAAATAAATGACTTTGCGTCCATGTCTGTACAACGCCTCTTATCCGTGAAATGATGTGGATAATAGGGCCAACTTGGCATTTCCAGGAGATCAATTCTGGGTGATTTATCTGTGGATAAAAGTGGATATGATGAATGTACCACAACTTCTGGCTCACTCCTCTTATCTGAAAACAGGAAGCATTCTTTAGCGGATATAATATTTTCTTGCATCTATTAGGATATGGATAATATAAATGACTATATGGTGTACTCTGCGAGTTTAAGATCTCAGCTCGGTCACCAATTTGTTTCTCCATTTCATCCAGCTCAATTCCAATGTTTGAGAATTTTTTTAAAAAATATCGGTTAGACTGCTATGCGACAGACATTTCCCCCTCTGTGGCAGGACGGATGGTAACGTGCTCACCCCTGAAAGTAATGTCATTGTGGAACGCATCTGTGATGTCTGCTGGCCGAGTTGCCTTGAAAAGAAGAGCTTCTTAGCTCAACAAACTTTACTATGGAAATAGACTCATGATTCTACAGTGTGGACCAGAGATCACGAGAAGGGATCTCAATGGCAGCTCTCTTGATATCCCTTTCCGTTGTCCACTCTCACACGAATGGATGAACTGCTGTGCTAAAATTCCTACTGGTGTCTTCGTTTTATAGCGCCTTTGGCACAATCTGGTTCAACTTGATGACAAGAGACAATACATTTAAGTTGTTCGTTAAAGTTAACTTTAATTTATAACTGCATGACTGAGGCCTAACAGTGAGAATACATTTAAACACATAGTCACCTTAATCCTCATCATACCGGTAGCCATTTAAAAACAATCAGAATCTGAATATTTATTTATACTGGAGGAATCAGACGAGCTATGAAGTTATTTTTTCACAGATGTCCAGTATCGTGATCGAACCCACGACATCCTTCATACCAGGCGAGGTAGTTAACATGTTGCCACCGTGGCGCTCATAATTACAGTGAGGGAAAAAAAGTATTTGATCCCCTGCTGATTTTGTACGTTTGTCCACTGACAAAGAAATGATCAGTCTATAATTTTAATGGTAGGGTTATTTGAACAGTGAGAGACAGAATAACAACAAAATCCGGAAAAACGCATGTCAAAAATGTTATAAATTGATTTGCATTTTAATGAGGGAAATAAGTATTTGACCCCCTCTCAATCAGAAAGATTTCTGGCTCCCAGGTGTCTTTCATACAGGTAACGAGCTGAGATTAGGAGCACACTTTTAAAGGGAGTGATCCTAATCTCAGCTTGTTACCTGTATAAAAGACACCTGTCCACAGAAGCAATCAATCAGATTCCAAACTCTCCACCATGGCCAAGACCAAAGAGCTTTCCAAGGATGTCAGGGACAAGATTGTAGACCTACACAAGGCTGGAATGGGCTACAAGACCATTGCCAAGCAGCTTGGTGAGAAGGTGACAACAGTTGGTGCGATTATTTGCAAATGGAAGAAACATAAAAGAACTGTCAATCTCCCTCGGCCTGGGGCTCCATGCAAGATCTCACCTCGTGGAGTTGCAATGATCATGAGAACGGTGAGGAATCAGCCCAGAACCACACGGGAGGATCTTGTCAATTATCTCAAGGCAGCTGGGACCATAGTCACCAAGAAAACAATTGGTAACACACTACGCCGTGAAGGACTGAATCCTGCAGCGCCCGCAAGGTCCCCCGCTCAAGAAAGCACATATACATGCCTGTCTGAAGTTTGCCAATGAACATCTGAATGATTCAGAGGACAACTGGGTGAAATGTTGTGGTATTTGACATCAACTCAACTCGCCGTGTTTGGAGGAGGAATGCTGCCTATGACCCCAAGAACACCATCCCCACCGTCAAACATGGAGGTGGAAACATTATGCTTCGGGGGTGTTTTTCTGCTAAGGGGAAAGGACAACTTCACCGCATCAAAGGGAGGATGTACGGGGCCATGTATCGTCAAATCTTGGGTGAGAACCTCCTTCCCTCAACCAGGGCATTGAAAATGCGTCGTGGATGGGTATTCCAGCATGACAATGACCCAAAACACACGGCTAAGGCAACAAAGGAGTGGCTCAAAAAGAAGCACGTTAAGGTCCTGGAGTGGCCTAGCCAGTCTCCAGACCTTAATCCCATAGAAAATCTGTGGAGGGAGCTGAAGGTTCGAGTTGCCAAATGTCAGCCTCAAAACCTTAATGACTTGGAGAAGTCTTCTTTGGTTCTTTCGGTAAAGTCACGTAGAATGAGAATAAAATAATTGATAAAATAAAATAACACAATAAAATTCTCACGACGTTTCGGCCACAACACAAGCGGCCTTCATCAGGTGAAGGGACGAGACTGTCTGGAAGACAGTGCTGGAGTGAGAATTTTATTGTGTTATTTTATTTTATCAATTTATTATTTTATTCTCATTCTACGTGACTTTACCGAAAGAACCAAAGAAGATGAATCCTTGCAGTCACGAAAGCTTTAAATCGAGACTTGGAGAAGATCTGC